AGCTAGCAAATATTAGTAGAAACCAGCGCTGAAAGACTGTCTATTGCCTCTCTTTTGAGGGATACATGCAGACAAGCTGATGACAAATTTCCACTTCCCATTTTATACTAGTGACAGTTAAATCGTAAAGGAATTGTTTGTTCCATCGACTGAATCCAATTCTTAAAACTGTTGCACGACAATAATACTATTTTTCATTACGTCATAGCCGAAGGCCAATTTTAGTATGTCAGAAGAAACTGCGGTGCAACCGAGAAATTTTTTGTGAGGAATCTCTTTCTTTTCCTTTCCTTTCCCCTCTTCTTTAACCCCTTTCCAGCTCTCTTCAACTTTCTATCAGCTCTTCTTTCCATCTGCTTCTTCTTGTCTTCTTCCTGCCTTTTGCCTCTCCTTTAAGCACTGCAACCGTTATACTGACGAAGTCCTGTCACGATGGTGTTAAGGCATATATGACTTAATGGACCGGAACGTCTTATCTCATTCCTGTCTCTTTATCTTATTTGTTCATTGTTATCTTCCATATTTCCACTAATTAAACTTCCAGGGTCAACCTAATTGCTTCATTCTACTTACCCTGTAAATCATCCCTCCTCTCTCGTAAATTTCCGTTTGACTGCCCCCTCTACTTCCACGGGCCTTCGTTTCTTTACTGGGTGTAGCTTGCTCAGCAAATTTCCAGTGACACTATGACATAACCCACAGCAGTACAATTCCGTAGTTACTCTTGGATCTTCATGAGCATTTGCTTCAGTATTCCTGCACAGCTTCGTAAACTGATTCTGATTATCAGTCGTAGCACCTAGCTGCTCCATGAAATTCACTAGTTGACATCCCAGCATTCCCTGATAGTCAGAAATTCTTCCTGTCTCTTTTAATTTTTTCAACTTTTTTCTCTCGATTCCTCTCCCATATCTTGACTCTACTGGTATTTCGGCTCCTTTTTTCTTAAGTTACTCATCTTCCTAACTGAAATCCCTCGTTCATTGTCTTTTTTAAATATATTATTTTGTTTCAGCTTAGCTCTTTTCGTAGAGCACTTATTGGAAAATTTTTGCGCAGATAAAATTTCGAAAGCACCATCAAATTTTCGAGATAATTTTAGGTAGGTTTACCGTTTCCGCCAC